ATATATTTAATTATTTTTAATGTAACTATATGTTTAAAAGTAATATATTTAGTTAATTAGCTAGTGCATTTCCTATCTTGCGTTTTTTTTTTGGGTTTTTTTAAAATAATTGTCTTAATTCTTTTGGAAGAAATTTTTTCGTAAATGAGATATGAAGTGATACATTATGTGTTAAATTCAATCAACGTAAGGTGTAAATCATTATGGTCCGGCAACGTGTTGTGAATTAAAGCACAAAATTTTAGATTCTAATAATGTTCTTATCATTATAATTTTTATTTATGAAAAAATAGTTTAATTATAATACTTATTGATTAAAAAAAAGCACAAATTAACAAATTATTCTTTTGTTCTTTAAAATTTATTTTTATTTTTATTTTTTAAAACATTTATTTTAATTTTTATCTTTTAAAATATTTATTTTAATTTTTTATCTTTTAAAATTGAGTCAATTTGATTATTATGAAACAATGGTCATTTTTAATTTTAAATGTTTTTATTGATTTAAGACTAGAAACTTATTTTATTACGTTAAAATTGTTGAAACGAAGTGATACTTAAACCAAAAAGAGTAATAAACACAATAGTCCAAAAATGAGTCTAAAAAGCAACTATAAAATTAAAAATAAAAAGTAATATCATATAATCTTTTATTGATTCTAAGGCTTATTATTCACACAATTTTCATTATGTTTAAAGTATTATGTTTAAAGTTTTTTGAGTTGAATCATCAATTAATTTCATAATTTTTATATAAGTGAATCTAATGGAAAGAATTAATAACTTAAATCAATAAAAAAAATCAAAATCATATCCTAAAATTGAAAACAATATTTGTTTTACAAGGATAAAATTAACAAAGATTTAAAAGATAAAATATTAAAATAAAAACTAAAAAAATAAGATAAATAACTAAAAAAAATATAATTTAACCTTTTTTATCTCTACAATCTCATTATTTATTGACACATATGCTATAAATTCTACGATAAACTACTTTAATAAGTGATTCACTATGCACCAATATTTCTAGCCATTAGATCAATCTTGTACACACAATAATACTCCTTTCTTTCATTTTTATTTGTCAAATTTTTAGTAAAATTTTGTTTATATTTACTTCTTATTCTTAAATTTTAAGATAATATTGTTATGTTATCAATTATACTTTTACATTTCATGTAACTTAAACTAATTTATATATGATAACTAATATGTATTTACTATGAACTAAAAAAATATATAATAATAAAAAACATTTAAAATCATTATAAAAAATTAAAAATTATTACATTTTTTGATTTATATAAAATAATATTAAATAATTATGATAAAGCAACCTTAAATCATTATTACATGGGAACGGAGTTTCTACCATGCAACTTTTACACCAGATTTTTTTCATCTCTCTTCCATATCTTCTATTTTTTTCTCTCTTTCCTTAAATTTCTTCTTTTCTATCGACAAAGGATTGTTCGTTATTCAGTTTTCGTAACCTACGTTTAAAAAGTATTATTTCAATTATAAATTTTTTGTACTACTCTAACAATAGAACCTGAGAACATTGTCATTGGGTATGAGATGGTTTTAACCATTTGACAAAAATAATAAATTTAATTAATTTAATCGATGATATTAAAAATTTAAATTCCAACCAAAATTGAACTAGTCAAGGAAGTTAATTTTCTTTGATTCAGTGAACCACAATTTTTTTTAAATTTTTTGTTGAAAGATATGTTCATGTTTTTATCCGACGTCAAACAAAATTAATTTCCACTTATAAATTCTTAATTTTTATTATAGTTATCCTTCAATTAATCTTTTAAAAAGATTCTTAATTCTTTATATAACCAATTAATTAATTTCTACTTATAGATGTTTTTATTATACTAGATCATTCATAAAAAGATCTAATATATGTTAAGATAATTTTATTAAAAAATTCCTTAAAAAAAGGAGTGCTAATTAATAATTATCATACTACTTCTTTTACACGCAACTTTCACATAACTAATTATTTAAAGGTATTTAAGAATTATTAATATTTATTAAATCAACTAATATTATATTTAATCTTTAAATATTAAAATTTTAAATTCAAGTCTTGACTTTATAAAAATAGTTAATTTATTATTTAAAAATTTAAAACTAAAATAATTTGAAATTGTATACACAAAAATAATGATCACTTTTATATATAAGTATAACTGCTGTTAAAAGTAAATAAATATATATAACTAAACTCTATTAGACATTTTAATAATTTTATTATACTATCAACTATACATTGATAATTCTTAAAAAAAAAAAGTACACATCAATAATTATATACAATTATGTTTATTTAATCTTAACTATACATTGAGACTATTAACCTTTTAATGAACATAATATAAACTACTCACAATGAGTTAACCATTATTTTCGAGACTATTACACCCTTAAATGAACATAACATAAACTACTCACAACTACTTTATTTTTCTTTATTCCTAAATTTTTTTGTACGCAAGACGTTTTTTTCTTCTTTTATTTTTCAAAATAAATATGTAAAGATTGGGAGAATTGAGGTAGCTAGAAGTATAAAAACCTAAATTCAATTCTCAATGCCATCATCTTTGTAATCTTTTTTATGTAACAAAAAAAACTTTTAATTTAGGAGTTACGAGGATTATTATAGAATATAAAAAATTACTTGGTACTTTTTGAAATCTTTTAAGTTATAATATCTAAGAGATGAAGTTTGACTTAATACTTTTACAATTGATTCTTATCCATGTTAAAATAATATTCGGATAACATAAATTATCTTCTAAGAAACATAAATTAATGACTAAAACCTTAATTTAGTCCCTTATAATATTTTAAAGTTTCAATTTAGTCTTTAAAACCTCAAGGTTCACGGGTCGAGTCCCACGAATGTTAAAATGCGAACGAATAAATGATAAGCGAGAAAAAGAAGATGAAGAAAAAAATAAAATAAAATTTGTGTCAACATAGTGTCGGCTTAACCGACAATAAAAAATTAAAATAATTAAATTTGTTAGTCACGGCTTAGCCGACACAAAAAAAATTGTGTCGACTTTTTTAGCGTCGACCAAAAACCGACGAATAACCGACAATATTGCGTCGGCTTTTATGATTTAAAGTCGGCTTTTGGCCGACTCTAAATTGAAACATTCGTGTAGTGGACTATTGAACAGACTCTATAAAGGAAATTTTATGTTAATCTTCTAAAAGGTTCTTGAAAATATTATTTCATACTATCCGGACGTTAAGGAGTGTTACCAGACGCCAACCTTGATTAGTAAATTAATGTAGTTAAATTACTACCGGTTTAGTTTTGAACCTACAGGGTCACACACTAACGAGCGTTCTAATCTTTGCTCAAGAAATTTTATTATTTGATAATTAAATTAAAGAATTTGATTTTACCAAATAATTATTTTTCTTATAAATAAAATATTATTTATTTAATTTTGACTAGCATCAAAATATAAATAGTATTTGTTTCTATTAAGATAGAAAAGCACGTCAGTTTTTCAATTTCAAATTGAAAGATTCAATTTGAATTTTGACCTAGTCAAAAGTGGTTTTGATAAGAAAAGATAAAAGCTAATTTCTTTTGGATATTTGATAATTCCTATTTTTTAGAAGATAGGATATGGAGGCTGTTGCTAAGTGAATAGATATGTTTACATATTTATAAATATACAGCTCCACTGTGGAGAAACACACACAGAGAAACCATAAGAAAATTAGTTCTTTTCTCTCTTATATCCTGTGCTGGAAAATTGCTCAGTCAAGAGGTTGACAAGCAAAGATTAGTCTCGATGTGGATACACGTGGGACCTTCATAGTTTTGAAGGAAATTTTTTAAATTTCAGACTTCAACCGGGTAAACTTTATTGGCTTTCATAAATATCCTATTAATTATCATGTGTGGTTTTAGCATAAAGTAGATCTTTTTATTTCCGCTACACATGTTTAGAACATGATTGAACTTTCAGTATATTCAGCCTCTCGACGACCCTTCTTGCTCATTCTGTTTTCTCTTGCTAAAACCACACTTTGAATTGCAATCTGAAATTGAAAAACAAATATTATTGTAACTGTACCATTTTTTGTACGCAAGACGTTTTTTTCTTCTTTTATTTTTCAAAATAAATATGTAAAGATTGGGAGAATTGAGGTAGCTAGAAGTATAAAAACCTAAATTCAATTCTCAATGCCATCATCTTTGTAATCTTTTTTATGTAACAAAAAAAACTTTTAATTTAGGAGTTACGAGGATTATTATAGAATATAAAAAATTACTTGGTACTTTTTGAAATCTTTTAAGTTATAATATCTAAGAGATGAAGTTTGACTTAATACTTTTACAATTGATTCTTATCCATGTTAAAATAATATTCGGATAACATAAATTATCTTCTAAGAAACATAAATTAATGACTAAAACCTTAATTTAGTCCCTTATAATATTTTAAAGTTTCAATTTAGTCTCATTTTAATTTTTGGGTTTAATTTAGTCCCACCTATTAAAAATGCTAACAATGTGTCTTCTGTCTAAATTTTTCAAACGCCATTTAGGAGTGTCCATGTGATTGAGAATCACAGGTTTGATTGAGAATCATGGACGTAATTTTCACAATTCTTACTTAATAGATTTTTTTTATGTGATTCACATCGTGAGAATCACTGTCGGCTCTTTAAGGGCGCCTGAGAAATTTAGATGAAAAATAAATATTGTTAGTATTTTTGATAGGTAAGATTAAACTGAATCCAAAAATTAAAATAGGACTAAATTAAAATTTTAAAATATTATAAAAGACCAAATTAAAGTTTTACAAATTTTGATGGTCAATTTTGAAATAGAGATATTTTCATAAATGTTAAAAAAAAAAAAAAAACAACGTGGTGGTGTAGCAGTAGTTGTATGTAAATAGTAAAGACAAAGAATATGCGGTCTATGAGTGGCCTCAAACTTCGGGAAACTATGTGACGTGCCCATAATGAAGTTTTGAGGTTTAAGTTCACAAAACCATTTCAACAAACATCCCAAAAATCAAGCAAATGGATTCCTCAGGCGCGACCAACCAGAAGCTCTTAGAAAACGGCGACGTTTCTTCTTCTTCTTCTTCTCAACCTACAAAAGGTGGCTTGCGAACCATGCCCTTCATCATAGGTACTACTATTACTACTACAACACACTTGCTTCCGTTTCGTTCACTCACTCTTGACTAAACGACGTCGCTGGCTCTGCGCGCAGTGAACGAGTGTCTGGAGAAGGTGGCGAGCTTCGGCATCATGGCGAGCATGATACTGTACCTGACGGAGGAATACGGGATGGGTATTTCGAAGGGCACAAACGTAATTTACACGTCCAACGCCATGTCCAACTTCTTGGCCATCTTCGGGGCCTTCATCTCCGATTCTTATCTCGGAAGATTTCTCGTCATTTCTCTCGGTTCCTTCTCTAGCCTCCTCGTAACTCTTTTCTCTCTTCACTCAAATATTATAATAATTCAACACAACCTTTCTAGATTTTGTTTTGTCTCCCAAACTCATCATTTTTTTTTTGTTATAGCTCAAAAGGACTAATTTCCTCTCACAATACATGAATTTTGCTGATGAAGGACTATTATTTTTTTCTTTCATTAATATGATTTATTTTATAGAAGTGTTTTAAATATGTAATTTATAATATTTTAATAAAAATGAAAATAATTTTTGTTAATTAAATATTATTATTTTGTATCTATTAATATGATTCATTGTATTAGTATTTTAAAATTGATGATTAAAAATTATTTTGTGTTACAATATTTTAAAGTTAATAATTAAAATTATTTTAACATGGCAGGCTTACTGTCTAGGTAGTGACGAGAGAAATGATCGATGCACTTTTTGTCTAGTACTATTGTCATTTCTCTGGTTTGTTCCTCTTATATGTTTTTTATGCCAAATGGGGTCCACTTTTTAATTATACAATTTTGATGCATATGTTTACTTTATATATAATGTTTCACTAAAGAACAAAGCCTTCTTCTATTAGAATTCGAGTTTTAAATTTTATATGCGTATAATTTAAAGCGATTTTTAATTGTGCATATGGTAATGTATTTAAGTTTTTCCCCAATAAAAAATGTTAGTATTGGATGTTTGGCATTAATCTTTAATTTACGCATATTACTGCATATTCACTTCAGCACTCTAGTACTCTGCTGTCACTTGGTGAACATCACTGTGAAATATTGGATCACTGGATGCTAAGTTATCGGATGAACTGATTGTATAATAAGAATGGCGGGTAACGAATATGCCAAAAGGAAAAATCGGGGACCAATTTGAGAAATGACTAAAATATTTGGCACTAATCTGATTGCTTTATTACACATTCTGGGACTAATCTGGTAATTAAATACATGTTTAGGGTCTGCATGTTATAGTTTCCATTCTTCTGGACTAATATGATTGATACTTCGTGGCTAATTTGACTACTTACTCTAGATTGAAGTTTCTGTTTCTTTTCTTTTTTTATTCTTAATTTTTGGGGGCTGTAGATACTAGATAAAAGGAAATTCAAGTGCTAAAGGAGGACCCTTTTTGTATTTGTTTATTTTTCTAAATGGGGCGGTGCTTTACTGATTAGTATAAGTTACATAAATTCTTAAATATTTTAGCTCACTAGTACAAGTTCATGCGGCAAATTAGACATGTATCTGTGTGGAAAAACAAATTAGACAGAGATTTGTTTAGCACAATCAGTCACTAGAGTTTTGGTAGTAGCACTGGCTTCAATTAAAAGCACAGGATTGACCCCTGTAGGTGTTGGTTAAATAGCAACACAACAAATAATTGTCCGAGTCTTAGAACTCTTGTGATAAATTTATAAAGTTGTTATTTTCCTAATGATGCTATAATATTCCTTGTCTCTCACAGGGATTAATCATTTTGTGGTTAACTGCCATGATCCCAGAGCTAAGACCTTCTTGTGAATCACTCATGGAAGTCTGCAACTCTGCTACGACAGCTCAACTAGCAGTTTTGTTCCTTTCCCTAGGATTAATTTCCATTGGAGCTGGTTGCATAAGACCTTGTTCCATAGCCTTCGGAGCAGATCAACTGACTATTAAAGAAAGATCTAATGATGAGAGGCTCTTGGATAGCTACTTTAATTGGTATTATACCTCAGTTGGAGTATCAACAGTGATTGCATTCAGTGTAATTGTGTACATTCAAGAAAATCTGGGATGGAAAATTGGGTTTGGAGTAGTTGCTGTGCTAATGTTCATATCAGCTGTCAGTTTCATTCTTGGTTCACCATTCTATGCCAAAGTGAAGCCACGTCGCAGCATACTCGCTAGTTTTGTACAGGTAATTGTGGTGGCTGTAAAGAACAGAAAACTTAGTCTTCCTGATTGCAACTTAGATCATTATTTTCAAGACCGTGATTCGGACCTGATGGTCCCTACTGATACCTTAAGGTACTTGTGCTTGCCCTCGTGATCTTATTTCCTCTTATTTTCACTTCTCAAATACTGTTTTGCCCCCATATATTTCTTCTACGAGACAACAAATGATATATCCAATTATCATCATATATTAGATAGTGACCATCATTTATTAACTTTGTCAAAGGTAATTTGTTTTTGTCTTATTTCTCGAGGAATGCAGAGTAATTCCATCATATAGACATGTCACTGTCAAATAATACTTTACCGAGTACTTTTAGAGTGAGTTAACACAATCTTCTTTTATAGGTATTTGAACAAAGCTTGCATAATAAGAACTCATGAGACAGTCTCAAACCCTGATGGATCAGTTTCAGATCCTTGGAGCCAATGCACAGTAGGGCAGGTGGAGTCACTGAAATCTTTGCTCAAAGTCCTTCCTATGTGGTCTGCAGGCATCTTTGGGATGGTGCCCCAAGGCTCATTCTCTACCCTCCAAGCAAATACAATGGACCGAAGGTTATTTGGCAATTTCAAGATTCCTGCAGGATCCTTCACTCTTATCACTGTAATCACCTTATCAATTATCATTCCATTCTATGATCGCATAATGGTACCCCTGCTATCAAAATACACGGGCTCGCCTAGAGGATTCAGTTGTAAGTCTCGAATTGGGATGGGAATGTTGTTTGTGTGTGCAGCCATGGCAACATCAGCTGCAGTTGAAACTATGAGACGAAATGCGTCCATCGAAGAAGGCTTTGAGGACCAGCCTAATGCTGTGATTCCCATGTCTGCTTTATGGCTAGTTCCTCAGTTTGTTATGCTTGGAATAGCTGAGGCTTTAAACCCAGTTGGGCAGATTGAGTTTTTCTACACCTATATCCCCAAGTCTATGTCTAGTTTCGCAAGCGCTCTTTTCACTCTTGAACTTGCTGCTGCCAATGTAGTGGGAAGTGTGTTGTTGAACATTGTGGACAAGGTGACTAGTGTAGGAGGGAAAGTGAGCTGGTTATCAACTAACATTAACAGGGGCCATCTTAATTATTATTATGCACTGCTAGGTTGCATATGTTTAATCAATTACCTCTACTTTCTTGTTATTTGTTGGGCTTATGGTCCTGCTCCGAGACAAAAACTTCAAGCTTCAGCTGGTAAGAAAGAAGAGCAATTTGATTACAGGGAGTTACCTACTTCCTAGATTTTTTTTAGTATACAAACAGATACTGTAAACACTTGAGAAACTGTAGTATTGAAAGTGTTTATGTGTATAATTAATAGGTTAAAAGTAGATCTGTGCTAAAAGGCTTTATTGTGATCTTGCACAGTATATGTTGATATGAAGAAATAATGGAATGAAATTATACGAAAAAAAATGAATTTAGCTTTGCAAGGCTAAATACTACTGCTGTAGTGGAAACTTTTGCATGGTAATAAACTTTAGTTATGCATTTATCAATAACCTTTTCTAAAACTCTTCCTATTTACATCATTTTCTTTTGCTTTCTTCTGTTTCGTTCTATTGGTCAGTGTTTACCTACATTGCACGGTTATGGGTACCATACCTGTAACGACATAAGATAAAGACAGTACAACATAAAAAGAAATCAAATCGTTCAACATAAAAATAAAACATCTCACAATAAGAAACTAAATAATGATAGTTTTTTGCATCACAATATTCTTTATAATATTAAAACGTGTCACAATAAAAAAACTAAATACTGGTAATATTCAACATCACTAGAGCCAAGCATGACTATATAAGATGCACTTTAATTGCCCCAAAAGTTGGTGGTACTTGTTCTTGATTTTATACAAATAACGAATGTCTGGTGTTCTATAGTACTAATATGATTAACTATCACACGTGAGGAGCATATGTTGCAGGGGCAATTTTGGTCTTAATGACTGAATTGAGTGTGCAATTTGAAGATAGTATCAGCAAGCTGCTACATCCTGTCCTCTACCTTTGTTACTAATGATTTTAGCAAACAAAATATCATACTGAATGCTGGAGAATTGTCCATGTGTTGATAACATAATTGCAATTTCTATTAAGAAAATGACATTCTATTAAGAAAATTGCTTTTAGCACTTTGTATTGATCTAGAATAGCAAACATATACAGAGTCCTAATACTCCTATTTTCAGGCTCTCCATGATTATAGGAGATAAATACAAAATATCCATGATTATAGGAGGTACAAAATCAAAACAGTATCAAGAGATATAAATGACAGAGATATGGATCTATTACAATTAAAATTATAACTAATCCATGATTTAAGCTCCACTGATTCAATTCTGACACTCCCTCTCAAGTTGGTATATAGATATTACTCATGTCTAACTTGTCAAGAGAACTACTAAAAGTCCTGGATGCTACTGCCTTGGTAAGCATGTCAACAAGCTGTTCTAATTTTACAAAAGGAAGGATAATAATACCAACTTCAATCTTTTCTTTAATGAAATGTCTATCAATTTCCACACATTTTGTACGATCATGTTGAACAAGGTTGCTAGCAATCTCTAGCTGATTTATTATCACAATAAAGCTTCATTGCATCCTTTTGTTTGTATTGAATATCCTTCAACAAATATTTAATCCACAAAAGTTCACACATTCCATTTGCCATCCTTCTAAATTTGGCTTCTGCACTTGATCTAGCAACTACTTGTTGTTTCTTACACATCCAAGTTACTAGATTTCCACCCACGAAAGTGAAATAGCCTGCACTAGACCTCCTATTATCTACTAATCCAGCCCAATCAGCATCTGTATAATCTTCAACTTTGAGGTGGCCATGATTTGAGAATAACATACCTTTTCTGTGAGCAGATTTTAAGTACCTCAAAATTTGTTCAATAGCATCCATATGCAATTTTTTTGAGTCATGCATAAATTGGCTCACAACATTGATTGCATATGCTATGCTTGGCCTTGTATGAGACAAGTATATTAGCTTCCCAACTAGTCTTTGACATCTTCCATTGTATGTACTTGTTGCATCAGCACAATGAAAATTCTTGTGATTTTGTTCTATGGGAGTATCAATTGGTTTACATCCAAGCATTCTTGTTTCAGTTAACAAGTCTAAAATATATTTTCTTTGAGAAAGAAATATGCCATGTTTAGACCTTGCAACTTTGATCCCTAAAAAATATTTGAGATCTCCAAGTTGTTTCATGTCAAATTCGGAAGCTAAAAATCTCTACAAGCTAAAAATCTCATCAAAATCATTTCCAATCACAATCATATCATCAACATATATTATCAATATAGTATTATGTTTAAGAAACAAGGTATGATCAACATTACTCTGTGTATAACCAAAAACACTTCATAAACTTTGTAAATCTTTCAAACCAAACTCTTGGTGATTGTTTCAATCCATATAGAGTCCTTTTAAGCTTGCAAACCAAAGGAATATTTGAGAATTTTGGTATACCAGGAGGAGGATCCATAGCAACCTTACTGTATTAAGTTTTGCAATTGATGCAAAGGTTTCTTAACGGTCAACTCCATAAGATTGAGTGTAACCATTTGCAACTAGCCTTGTTTTATACCTCTCAACACTTCCATCAACTTTATGTTTAATAGCAGGCACCCATCTACAACCCATAGTGCTCTTTCCAATTGATAAGGGTACAAGTTCCCAAGTAACACCTTTTTCTAATGCTTCCATTGCCTGAGTCCACTTAGGGTCTGTTAGAGCTTCCTACATGTTACTAGGTGCAAAGACACTAGATAATGGAGATTCAAAATTGGCATGACTTGGACAACTTTTCAAGTGACACATAATTGTTTATGGGGTATTTGACCTTACAATTAAGATAAGATTTATACCTGATTAAGGGTTGTCATCTACTAGTACGAGATGGAAGAAAATAAGGGATCACTATAGGGTCAGAATTTGAATGACTAGAAATAGAGGCATTTCTTTGTATATCAACAAAAACACAATTTGGCATATCAACAATAGAACGAATAGAAGTAATAGTTCTAGATGTTACCTCTACGAAATTATTTGAGGATTGGATCCACAATGGATTTGAAGTTGATTTGTATATCCTCCTTTGTTGCTTTCTTCTTTCTTTTTTCCTTTTTCTTTCTTCCCACTAAATGACTTTTTCCCACAATTATTGTTGCCTTGAACTTTGCCTTTGGTATTAACCACAAAAACACATTCAACATTTTCTTCCATCCTCAAGGATCTTCTCTATTTAGTGGCTTGAAAAACATTTACGAGTTCTGAAATTGATATGTGAGAAAAATTCTTATTTTCATCAAGAGAGGAGATTTTTTAACTCAAACCTCTTCAGAAGACACACCAATATTTTCTCCACAACCCATTGATCACTAAGTTCTTCACCTAGTAATTTGGTTTGTGTAACAACTTTAGAAAGTCTGTCAATAAACTCCTTTACTATTTAAGCTTCCTTCATTTTAATAGCTTCAAATTCTCTTCTCAAATTTAGCACCTTCATCCTCCTTGTTCTTTCATTGCCTTGGGATTCCCCCTTAAGTTTGTCCCAAGCTTCTTTTGTTGTCTCAAGATTCAAAATCTTGATAAAAACATCATTATGAATTACTACTTGTATCATGGCAAGTGCTTTGCCTTCTTTAGCCACTTCATCAATGTGGAATCTTACTTGAGCCATCGTTGGGTTGTTTGGTAAAAGAGCTTGATTGCTTCTATTTTCCACCACTTCCTATAAACTTTAAGCTCTTAGATAAGTTCTCATCTTTATAGCCCACAAATCAAAATGTTCTCCAACAAATACTAGAGGTGGAAGTAAGGAATTTCTATTGGAAGTCATTTATTGAAGGTTTTATAAGTGAGTTTTCTTGTTAATTTTCTCTCACACAAATTGTTTTTTAGATATTTTCTCTCCCTCATAGACCTTTAAAGATCAATGAAACTCTTGATACTATGTTAAAAATGAAAACAAATAAGTAGGAATAGAAGAGAACAAATGGAGCAAGGTAGCTTGTGTAATGGGGATGCAAAAGTGCATTTACGTTTTTTGCATATAACATTTTTACAATGACTTGGAAGTTTGAAAGTACAAGGTTTCAAGGAAAAATGCACTCACAGTTGACTTGGTTGTACTACCTATTAAAAACAAGTATTTTCACTCACTTTTACCTATGACTAAAACATACTACATATCACCTACTTTCACCTAAAAAAAATTGCAAATAAGACAAATGTAAGGCAACATATTTTGTATTTAAAATATCAAGAAAATTCTCTAAGTCTAACAAGAATCAACTCTCCTCACTAGTGTATGCATTAACTTTCTTTAAATGTCTCCAACCGCGACTAATTTTCTATTTTGTATTATTCCTTTCTTGAGTAATCACATATTTATTTATTTATAATATAAAAGCTAAACTCCAACTTATAATATTGACACATCATTATATTCTCAAATCTCAAATGTACCATATCAACATATTTCCTTATGTGTAAACTTCTATGCTCTTTTATCTTCTATTATATTTTTTCTTTACCCATTATATAATTATATATCTATCATATGTGTTCTATTCAATCCATTTTCGACTCTTTTATTGTCTAATTTTCTTCATCTTATTTTCTCAATACTACACCTCTTTTATTACAATTATATCTTCTATTACATTTCTTCTTTACCTTCTATATTACATATTCATGCTTTATCCGATCCATCTCACCTCTATTTAATTTTCATCTCACATTGCAATCTTTATTAGAAATTAAAGGTACTACTTTTTCCCCTCTTTTTCACTATTATTAAAATTTTTAATTCTGATTTGAGATTTGATAACCTATTTTGTGCGAGAAGATGTATAACAAATTAGAAAATTATAACACTTTTTGTGCAAAATTAAGTTTCAAATGTTCCTATTTTGTGTGTAAAAAGAATCGCAAATTAGAAAATCATTGCACTTTCTATGTTAATATATTGAGTTTCAAATGTTTTATTTCAGTGTAGTTTGCATACATTATAAAGTCTTGAAATGAGGCAATTTTAAAGCAAAACAATACAACAATTTCTGGTGAGCAAATTGTAATGAGAAATGAGTATACACATTGTCCTAACCTTCCTATTATTGACACATGTTAAGTTAAAATAAACGATACCTTAATGTGTTTTTGTTTATTATTTTTATATTTTTTTTGAAATTATTAATTTTATATTTTTATTTAAATTTCATGAAATTAATAAGTTTTAAAATCTTAATCTTAATATGTTAATTATTTGAGTTTTAAAATCATATTTTTAAATTTTATAAGTGATACATTTATATTTTGAAATCATATTAATGTAAATTCACTCCAAATTTTAAATTTATGCTTCTTACATTGTAAAGTCATAGTTTTATTTTATTTAAAAGATAGAAGTTATGGATAAGGATCGGTTCCTTGACGTCAATCGATATAGAAATCTCCA